AAAGCAAAAACAAATGCAATCTAATTGGAATATTTCAGCATTTCCAATAGCTGTAAGAATTCGCCACGAAATCATCAAGAAATCATTCTCGAATCGGGTAATATGTTAAATACAAAATGCGCACAAAGCAAAGTGAGGCCAGGCAGCGGGATGGGAAATTTATGAAATTGAATTTAAGATTATTTTGGAATTGGTCACGAATTTCGCTTGGCTTGCAGAATGTTTGCACATGAACAGATTTGCTGAATGCTCGTAATAATAATAAAATGCCAAAATGGAAAGCGTACAGCATTTTCTTTACAGTTTTCCGCCAGGAAATTTAAATGTGTGTCGGCTGCCTTCGATTGCATTTTTCATGAAATACTTGGTTTGGGGCTGTGCGCTTAAAGAACCCACTGAATTTGTTGTAGAATATTGCTGTTGTTGTTGTTGTTGGTGCTGTTGCTGCTGCTGCTGGCGTTGCTGTTGTTGCCGCTGGCATCAATTAGAATCAATCAATCAAGTGTGCATAATTAAATTGCTCATTAGGCGCAGGGCAATAATTGGCAGAGCAACAACAATAATGACAACTTCTCAAAGTCAATGGCACTCACTCATCAGCTGGGGTTAGCGCTGCTCTCCTCTGCTCTGCTCCGAACTGAAACTGTTTACAGGCTCTGGCTACTGGATGTCAATTCCGAGCCATTTGCCATGTTGGCACTCCCACCAGCCAGCAACCAGATGCCCCATGCCGTATGCCGCATGCCACACAACCATGAGCCACATGCCGCATGTGTGTTTACATTTACAGCTGGCCATTAATTGCTGCGAATCTGTTGTCGTCTTTAATTCTGATTGATTCGTGCTGTTTCATTGTTTTTCCCTCGTTTTTGCGACCTTTTTGCGCCCTTCGGCTCTACTTTGTTATTTGCTAGTGATTGGCAAACGTTGCGAGTCCTGACAGCCGAATGTCCTTCAATTCGGGCTCAAGGCAAGTCAAATATAAATAAGAGAAAAGGAAAATTGCCATCAGCAAGAAAGCAGCGAGTGATTGCCAGATACCCTGTAGCTGGGCATATATGTGTGCTTGATCAGCTTACAAGACGATGCTCAGCTTGATCATCAAAAATATTTATCTGCTGCTTTTACTGTTATTATGTAGCTGTTGGCAGGTCGCCTTCAATTCAGCTCCACAAATTTCACTCACCTGGCACTGCCGGAGCCACCGGCGTCTAAATACTTAAATGCTCCCAGGGGCGCCGCTCAATGGTGAAGCATTTGAAGTGCCATTGTGTGCGCCCGCATAAGGCTAAAGTGCAGCTCAGGCGCACGCCGTAAGCCGAAGGCCATTATATGGCTCATGTCAGCATTCGCATTAATGCTGGAATATGATAATAAGCCACAGGTCCACAGGCAGCAGCCCCACAGGCGGAGAGATGTCCCCCCATTACAGCTGAAAATATGAGAAACACTTTAAACTGAACATCATTTCGATGATGCGATAGCATTTCGCATATATATGTATATATGTTCGAGATATGCCAAATGCATTCCAATCGAATTAGCTGCCATCAGCTGGTGGCCCGGGGCTCATTGGATGTGCTTTAATATAGTGTTGAAATAAATCAATAAAATGAAATATATGCATACATACATATATACATACACATACGTATTTCAGTTGGAGCTGGAGGGAAATCAAATTGGCGCAGCATAACTCAAATTACATAACGCTTATCACGCATACGCAGCATTGTACCAGCAGCATTTGGCAAGAGTCAGACTTGAATGGAAGGAAGTGCCATCAGTACGCAGCGAATTGCAGCTCTCGAGCTCTCAAATTATTTGCCATCAAATTCTATTGATTTATTAATGCCGCTCTCCATTTCCTCCACCCCACCCCACTCCACGCCTCGACAGTTGCCATAAAGCAACGTCGCGCCGTATCGAATGCTCACCGGGCATCAGCCGCACTGCACGCATTAATTTCGAAAATGTCTCAATAAAAATCAATATCAAATATATTTTGTACTTTATGGCTTTATTAAGGCCTCGTTGCTTTATCGACATAAAGAAACAAAAAAAAAAAATAAAAATCAAAGATTGTCTTAAGTTGGCATTCGGCAAAATTCTTTGCGCCGCCTACAACTTTTCAAACACTTTATATTTATTATATCAAAAATAATATAAGGATAAATGATATGAGCGAAAAGATATTATATATTTGAGCTGTTTTATATTAAAGTAAATTGCTTATTTAAAGAGATAATATTATGTTCAGCTCTTCAATTTTAAAATATATATTTATTGCTTACAATTGAAAAGAGATTGATGTGTTTAATCACTTTAATTTTTGCTTTCTTTTCGTCTCTATCTTTAAAGACTTCATTGACTCGCCTATCATGTTTCTGCAATGCAATTTCTAGAAAATTACTTTTCTATGCGATTTTCATGCACAGCTCTTCTAACTTCTTTCTCTCACCTTCTCTACCTCTCTCAGTTACTCAGTTATATCATTAAGTCTCTTATCGAGAATGCCATTTATTTTTAATTGATTTGCTATGTGATTCTCATAAACTAAATCTTAATTCTTCTTTGTCTCACACTCTCCCTCTGTCACTCTCTCTATCTATCTCAAAACTCACTTATATTATTCTATTATTAGCAATGCTCATCATCACCGACTCTATCCATCTCACTCTCTTGCGTGAAACACAATTATTTCCATTTATTATCCGCATTGACTATGAATTTCTAAAATTAAATTAATGTCAAGTTGTATTAAATAATATATTAAATATATTCACACATCAACAGGCAGGCAAACTGGCTTCACAGACAATTTCAACTTAATTTGCTTATTCACTCTCAAATTGAAAACTTCGTTCGGTCGTTCGTTCCTTCGTTAGGTTAATGAGTTCTAAGCAGACACGGTAAACTTTGAGGCAAGTGGCAAGAATGCAGCGCATGCTGACCTCAATGTTGCTTTTTCCTCCTCTAGCTGACGTTGTAGACATCGTTGAAAAGTTATCTAAATAGTTGTGGATACTTTTGGGCTGTCAGACAACTCATTTGGCTGGCACGACCAGGCGTATGCTGCATAATAATATTAATAATTCATTAGGTAAAAAACCTTTTTTTGGTTACTCAAACATAAATTGACTTCGAGTGGCAAGTTAAGTTCGGTTGGGCTGTCTCTAAATTGTAATTGTTGCCGTTGTTGTCTGTGGCATGTCGGTGAACTTATTCACCTGAAAGCTGTGGCTTGCGTAGCTATGGAAACAGCTGACAGCTGGTTATTACCAGGAATGTCTGGCAGAAACTTTTGGCTCTTAACTTCTATTCTTGGCTGTTGTCTTGCCACGCCAAAGAACTGAAGAACAGTTCACACAATGAAGAAATATTGCTGAGCTGTTGAAGTGCTTGCGATATTAATCCGATTATTAGCAAATGCTTTGAAATTCGTAGCGAAATACTTCAACAATTGTTTCATAACTGAGAACTCGACACAGTCTATGGAAGCTCTTAAGCACACTTTGAGTTTAACAACATAACACTGAATTTCCACTTAATAATTATTTATTTATTCATTCTGTAATCAATTATTGCTGTAGTGAATAAAACTTAGTCGATTATTCAAAGTAATCTTCCAGCTGCAGTGCTGTGAATGTATCAATGTAATCCTCTTGCCTGTCATTCGGAGAGCTGTCATTGGGATAGTCGTCGACTTTATAGTAGTACATTAGCAGTGTGTAAAGCAGTAGCCACCAGATTATTTCACTACCAATTGGACACATTTGGATGCTGCTGTCGTTGCGATTGAGCTGTCAATGATACCAAAACGCGTCGGTCCAATCAATGGAAACCGCATGAACAAACATATGTGGGTCAGTTTGTGCAGCTGTCGTTGGGTTGCGACCCACCTTATTCAGCCAAAGCACACACCCATTGTATTATATACAAATAGAATACTAACATATATAACACACATTCAGCTGGGAAAGGCATCCCTTTGTGGCATACTTTCAAGCGATGCTGGCATTTTATGTCAGCACTCAAACTGAGTTTTATTGTCATATAAGTGAGATTGTCCGCTTGACCGAGCTTAGCGGTCATAGAAATTTTCAATTGCCCCTCTCATATTTTATTTGATTTGAGAAGCGAATATGTTGCCTACGAGCACTTCACAATGAAACTAGCCGTCGTAACATAATAACAATAGTAGTGACAATGACAATGACAATGACAATGACAATGACAATGACAATGACAATGACAATGACAATGACAATGACAATGACAATGACAATGGCAATGACAATGACAATGACAATNTCGGAGAGCTGTCATTGGGATAGTCGTCGACTTTATAGTAGTACATTAGCAGTGTGTAAAGCAGTAGCCACCAGATTATTTCACTACCAATTGGACACATTTGGATGCTGCTGTCGTTGCGATTGAGCTGTCAATGATACCAAAACGCGTCGGTCCAATCAATGGAAACCGCATGAACAAACATATGTGGGTCAGTTTGTGCAGCTGTCGTTGGGTTGCGACCCACCTTATTCAGCCAAAGCACACACCCATTGTATTATATACAAATAGAATACTAACATATATAACACACATTCAGCTGGGAAAGGCATCCCTTTGTGGCATACTTTCAAGCGATGCTGGCATTTTATGTCAGCACTCAAACTGAGTTTTATTGTCATATAAGTGAGATTGTCCGCTTGACCGAGCTTAGCGGTCATAGAAATTTTCAATTGCCCCTCTCATATTTTATTTGATTTGAGAAGCGAATATGTTGCCTACGAGCACTTCACAATGAAACTAGCCGTCGTAACATAATAACAATAGTAGTGACAATGACAATGACAATGACAATGACAATGACAATGACAATGACAATGACAATGACAATGACAATGACAATGACAATGACAATGACAATTATCATTATCATTACTCTATTTATTAATTAATTAACTAATAATGCTATCTTTTCTTTATCATTTCAGGACACGAACTGAATGTTGCGCGGAGTGGAAGTGATGTCGTTGTCAGAGCCGCGTATTGTAGCTGTAGCTGTAGCTTAAGTRGGCGTGGCTGCATTCATGATGCGACTGGCGAAGCTGACGCAAAGCTTATCGCTCAGAAATGCAACGCAAAAGTGCGCGGATCAGTCGCACGCCAAGGTTCACAGGGGCTGGGAACAGATGGGGCAGATTAATTGGGCTTAGCCCTGGATGACACTTAGTTTCATTCAGCATTTCATGCGATTCTTTTCACTCACCTAGGTGTCTCTCTAATTCTCTCATTCTCACTCTTATTCTCGGTTTCGCTCGCAGCGTCACGGCAGCAGCAGCAGCAACGGTGCGGGGCAGAGCATTGGCAGCAGCGTCAACGTCAACGGCCTGGCGGCCACAGCGCCAGGGACAGCAGCGACGCGGAGCAGCAGCAGTAGCGGCGGCAGCGGCACCGGCACCGGCACCGGCAGTGGCAGTTGCAGTGGCCACACCAATAGTACCAAGCGCAAATCGAAGCCACGGACAAAGTGTTTCAGTGGCACAGTGTTTCGCTGTTGCCTACCTTGTCGCGGGGGCGGCTCCGCAGCCCCCGCCACAAGTCCGCCCCAAACTCCCGCGCAGACACCGGACGAACTGAAACCCAAGGCGCAGACAGCATCAGCAGAGGCTCTGGCAGATAAGGGCCTGTCCCAGCAACAACAACAGCAACAACAGCAGCAACAACTCGACACCGACTTGGAGGCAATTGGTGGCGGTGAAAAGAAACATTCGCTCGCAGATACAATCGGTACATCGGTCACCACGCCCATCTCCCTGAAGACCCTCATCAACGACGTTGACGAGGATTTGGAACAGCAGCTGAGCGCAGCGGACATTGCAGCCGCCAGCTTGGCCAGCGGCTTGGTAGCCAGACGCGCCGAGCCCGAAACCCTTAGCGACGCCAGCGTCTCACCCACCGTGGTGGTGCTGCAGCTCTCGCACACAGTGACAGCTAGCACTGCGCCCAGCCTAGCGCTGCCCGAAGTGACCAGCTTGACGACAGCCAACACAGCATCAACAGCAGCAACACTGCTGTCCACAACCACAAGCATCTCCTCCACGTCGCCGTCGCCCAGCGGCATCTATCAATCAGTTAATCAACCGTCGAGCAGCAGCGGCGGCGTAGCTACTGGAGCAACGCCACCAACAGTACCAGCAGCAACCACAGCAGCAGCAGCAGGCGTAGCAAGTGGCTCAACCACGCAACAGCGTTGCAGTTGCCAGCCGCAGACCTCACCACTGCCCCACATTAAGGAGGAGGAAGAGTCCGAGCAGCAGCATCTGCAGCAGGCCGGCAACAACCGGCAGCCGATTAGCAGCAGTCCCATCAAGGGCCTTGAGGAGCCTCTGCCGCCGATTACCATTGCCGGCGGCGGCTATTGTGGCAGCTGCGAGAGTGTGCACCACAGCTCGGGCACTTCATCGTCGGCCACAGCCGGTGGCGGTGCCGTACAGCCGGATTACGGTGGCGGCGCATCGACGCCATCGCCGCGCATCAAGCTCAAATTTCGCAAGCCGCACAAATCGTGCTGGTCACGCATTGTACTCGCGCCCATTGGCAGCAGCGGGGGCGGCTCATCGTCGGCAACCGTTATTGGCAGCAACTCGAACGAGACTCTAGCGTCGAGCGGCAGCACCGGCAACACAAACACAAACAACAGCAGCAGCGTCAGCGTCGCTGCCCATCATCGCCTGGCCTCGTCCTCGGCATCGGCGCTCGCCTCGCATCCCAGCAACTCGCAGCTGCTGCCCACCACCAAAATGCAGGCCGAACAGGGCTCCATTGGTGATCTGCAGAAGTATCACAGTCGCTATCTCAAGAATCGACGACATACTCTGGCCAACGTACGGTAAGTGCGAGAATATATAATTTTATATATGTAGCTATATATTACTTGATTGAAAAATGATTTGCTTTCTAAATAAGATGATGAATATTAGATGGTTGTACATAAAAAAGAAACTTATTAATCGATTAAATATTAAAGATCCTTTACGAATCAAATCTAGTTAATGGCAGATTAAATTTTTTCAATAATTGAATGTATAAATGCTTAGAAAAAATTGAATTAAAATTAAATTCCAAATCTTCAAAGTTTCCAAAATTTCCAAAATTAATTTAAATTGATTTTTTTTTTTTAATTTATACATTTATTCATTGAACAATTTTGATTGCTTGAATTGCGTTATTTAATTGGTATAAACAAAACAAATATTTAAACTTTATAATTGCTTAACTCAATACTAATACCAGTAGAGAGTTTTGCGCTAGAAAACTCGATTCGGTTAGAGCTTAGTGTCGCAGCAAGGCAAAGTTTATGTTAGCCTTGACAGCAGTTGACGAGAGGCAAAGAAAATTAAATTAGATTTGAGATTTCGCATATCAGAGAAAATCTATAAGTTGAAGAAGTTTTTTTTTTTCAATGAAAGCGAATATTTGCTGAAGACTTTAATATTAAGTGCGACTGTTGCTGAAGGTGTCTAAAATCTAAGGCCAAAAGAATTTGGCTCACTCTTAAATGGACTTTCAATATCGACCAGTAAAACTCAATGTCTTTAATATCTCTAGTCAGATTCTTGAACATCTTTATTGGTCTATAAAATATTCTTTGTTGCCTTATGCATCTCCTCTTGATAGTACTGGAGCTGAAAAACGCATTCATTGCACTTTCTTTAAAAGTTTCCCATTCCACTTTTATATACCAATTCACTTTCAGTTTTATCTGATTCTCATTCGCCGTACTTTGTTGAATCCAATTAAATGAACTTGCTATCATGGCGAAAAGCTTACGCTATTTATATAAGACTTGATTTCATGTTCAATTTCTACGACGTTCAATATGAGATAGCGTGGACAATGCTGCTGTTCGTTCAATATTCCTCATATTTCATCTTTTATATAACACTCAATGTGTCGCCTACAGTTATGCAACACTTTTGTCGACTGTTTGCTAGTGTCGTCTGCTGCTTGTGGCATTGTGTTGACTTTGGCCTTAAAATTGACTTTGAACAGCTCACTCGGCTGTTAACACAGCAGAACAGAAAAAAAAAAAAAAAGAAATAAATATAAGTGGAAAAAATTGAAAAAAAAAAAAATACAAACTGAAACGCTAAGAGAGCACAGAATAAAAAAAAAAAAAAAAC